ATTTTTAGGCCTTGCTAGATACTATTGCCATTTTGTTCAGTGATTTATTCATGTTGTTGCCTCATTGACAAACCTATTGGAGAAAAGTACTCTATTTGAATAGAAACTAGAGTAGCAAAATGCCTTTGATAAGTTGAAGGATGCACTCATTACTGATCCAATATTGCAATCGTATGATCATAACTTCCCTTGTATGCTTGACATTGATGCTTTCGACTTTGCTATTGGAGCGGTCCTTTAATGAGATTTTAGTAGGGGCCTTCAACATGTGGCATATGAATCATGGAAGTTCAAAAGGAGAGAGCACAATTGCTTTGCACGTGATTAGGAGCAAATAGCGATTATACATGCTACAAAAGTGTGGCGACATTATGTATTGGAGAAGCCAGTGGTTGTTTAGATTGACCATTGATCCTTACTACATGATTTACATCTGAAAAATATGAAATCACAGGATCATCATTAGAAAGAATAGTTGCACGTTTTTGATATCTAGCTTGAGTACAAACAAAGGAGACAACATATTGTACCAGATAGTTTATCACGAAGACCAAACTTAAAGAAAAAATTAAAAAATAAGGTAGAAGTCACTACTATTAGTAGTATCATTTTAGATCTAACTAAAGAGGTAGAATGGAAGGAAGCTACACAATAGAATGCTTATTTCAAGATGGTTAGCGATCAATTGAAGATGGATAATATACAATATTAAGATTACACTCTTAATAAAGGCTTGTTCTATTTCAAGAAGCAAATTTATATACTTGATAATGCTAAAATTTGGACGTACATACTTCAGGAAGGACATGACATCCTAATATTTGGACATCTAGGATAAGAGAAGATTCTAGAACAGATCTCAAGGACATGATTTTGGACAAGTTTGGATTATGATGTTCAAGCCTTTGAACGCTTTTGCGAATCATGTTAACATAATAGAGCATGCAATTCAACATCTCTTAGATTATTGCAGCTCATTTTGCTATCCACGGCACGTTAGGAGCAAGTGACTATGGATCTTATTACGTATTTGCTGTAGACGCTTCATAATCATACTGTAGTTGGTGTCTTTGTAGATAAAATCTTGAAGCAATTTCACTAGGCCACAATGCACTCGGATATTGATGTTCCAATGCTTGCACGAGCCTTCTTTGATATCATCTTTCATCACCTTGGATTATTTCATGTCATTATTTCAAATTGGGATCCATGCTTCATGGAAAGTTTTTAAAAAACCTTGTTTAAGCTACTAGGCATACAACTTGTCATGTCTACAACCTTCCATCCTCAAACAGATGGTCAAACAGAGTGTGTAAATTGGACCTTAGAGGATATGATATGGGCATTTGTGGCAGTTCTTCATAATGATTAGAATGAATACTTGACATCTTTGGATTTTACTTATAATGATAGTATTCAAGCAAGTACTGAATATTCTCTATTTTTCCTTAATACCGGTCAACATCCAATTATACCAGCAATTCTCTATTGGCCTATTGATACCAACAACCAAACAATAGAGGAATTTATACAATGGCTTATAATGGCCTTATAAAAGGTACGACAATGCTTCCTTATTACTTAGAATTAATAGAAGCAGCATGCGAATAACTATTAGCAACATAAGACTTTTTGGGAGAGTGATTAGGTATTACTCTTCAACGCCAACTTGCCACTTGCTACATCAATCCAAATCCGTAAACTAGCACCTCGGTGGCTTGGAAATTTTTGTATTTTTGTAGTAATATGTGATGTTGCATACCACCTCGAGCTTCTGCCACATATTGGGGTCTATTTAGTCTTCTATGTTTTGGAACTGAAGGAATTTCATACCAAGCCAAAACACTTTCCGAATCAACACCAACTACCACCACCACCAGTTGTACTTCATGACCAACAAGAATATGAAGTAGACAGTGTTTTGGAGCATTGCTGCCTTTGTCGTGGTAGTGGACGTCCATAACTTGAGTACAAAGTTTGTTGGAAAGGTTATCTCATTTACGATGCAATGTGTGAACCTGCACAAAACCTCATCCATTGCCAAGAGACAATTTGGAGATACCATCGAGAGCAAAACAAGAACGTTCTACATTAATGGAGGTGAATTAACTATAACAAGGTATAGATAAGATAATTATATAGATAATTAGAACCATAGAAGTTTTTAGAATTGAGATTAGCTTAGTGGACCATGTAGGATCCACCGTAGAACATTCTAAAAAGGATTTAGGGCCATTATTTAGGTAGATCCTACTATAGAACCTTCTAGAAGAAAACTTAGGGTGGCTATCCAAGTAAAGCCTACCATAGAACCTTCTAAAAAAGAAATTTAAGGCAGTTATTTAGGTAAGGCGCACCACTTAAGAACATTCTAAAAAGTCTAGGATGATAGGATAAGATATAAATAGGACTGACTAGGGCCTTTTAGGCTTTAGACTCTTTCTTTTAGTAAATTTTGGTTGTGCATCTTTCTGTTTAGATCTGTTCTCTTCTGTTTCTATTTGCTCAGTATTATCTTTCATGTCCTATTTTGGTTAGTTCCTTTTAGTTTTATTCTAATCTATTTTATTCTATTTTTTGAGGAGGCCTTATGTTATTGTGGATTGGAAGGATCTTGGGTTTTGAGTTAGTCTAATCATATTTCATCTATAGTCTGAAGGATAAAATTATTAACTAATATTTAATCTAATAGAGATTAAGATAGGAAAATAAACTAAGAGGCTTTTATAAAAGCCATATCCAAATGTATTGAATTAATATTGAACCATGATGATTAAATATTAATTAGAAATTTATTTGTAATTATATTTTTTCCAAATAATTGTATTACAATACAATAATAGCCAAGTGGCATCAATGTGGTTTCTTTGATATTTTCTCATAATTTTTAAGTTAAATTAAACAAAAAAAGTTTGAGCATATAGAAGACTTATGGTGGAATTTGTCTGCAAAACTTTACACCAAATAAAGAATCATAGCTTACTAAAGTTCACTAACTAGAATTAGGACTTACAAAAAAAATTAAAATTACCTAGTTATAACTTAGATATTGGTATAATACAACTTTACCTTCTACAATCATGTAACCAATGCATTTTCAAACAAAACAACATGTAAAACAACATTGGTATTGTGCTGAAAAGTAGCATAATATGTAAAAATAATGTGAAATATTATAAAAGTTTAGATTGTAATTTTTTTAAAAATAATATAATATAATATATGTAATAAAAAAATATATAATAAAATATTTATTTTATTTATATAAATTTATATTTTAAATTTTTTAGTTAGAAATAAATAATATAGGATTTATAACTAAGAAGTTTAGAGGGCTTTGAAGTCAAAAATATAATATTTTGACTTCTAGGCATCTCTTGTAGATAGAAAAGATGATTGATAGAGAACTTTATTTTTATTGGTTGAAAGTCATGTCCAATGGGCTTCAAGATATTATTTAGGACAATTCTAAAGTTTGGAACTACTTTAAAGCGACCCATTTGAGGCAAGGTAGACCATTCAAAGAAAGACAACTCATATAAAGTTTGAAGGTTGGATTCAAAAAGCATTTGTTTTGGACTAGTATTTGGAAAAAAGAAATATATAATTAGAAATTGTAAAAAGAAGATAATATTTTTTTTGAAGTTATTGTGTAATTTTCGTACCTATTCTTATTCTATTAAGCATAAAAAGAGTGATAGGAAAGCTATAATGAATCTAAAAAAGAAATTCAAAAACACACTTGCAGAGCTACATTTTATGAAAAATAATCAAGATATTTCAATAAAGAATGAAAGAAAAAGAGCTATTGGAATTTAATATTTAAAACTAGAATTTCTAGGTGAGTTGTTTCTAATGGAGATATTTGTTGTTGCTGTGTCTTGAGACTTTGGATAGATCTAAATTTTTTTAAATATATAAATAAATAAATATATGTGAATTACTTCTAAGTTAGTTACAATAACTATTTGATGTGATACATATTAGACATGTTATTAAAATTTGCATATTAATATGAATACATGCAACTTAAAAAATAATAATAAATTATTACATATAAATATAAAGACCAATAAAGTACTATTTGTTAAAATTGAAAGATGATCAAAACAATACATCGCTTGCCACAAATGTAACAAACTTTGTGAGTATTTTCTTTTTAACATGCTACATAATAGATGTAAAGTTATGTATATCAAATGTAAACCATAAATATGATTTATATTAAATAAATGTAATTCATGCTAATGAATAAGTTGATGCAATATTAGTAAACAATTCGGATAAAATAAGAAATACAAATATCATATGGTTAATAAAATTATGATTCTATTTTACAATGCATAACATTTTAAAAATTCATGGTTTTCAAATAAAATAGAACTATAGCAATATCTACTTCACGGGTGAGCACCGGTCTGCTGAAACATGCACGGTCGCAATCGGCACACGTCTGATGCAACATGGACAATCCATCGCCTTCGTTGGGACCCTGGTCAGCCTTTGAGCCTCCTCCAAATTGGACAATTACCATGCAATCGGCCATTCTGCGACAGAAGCCAAGAGTTGTACTCTCTTTTAGACTGCGAGACATCATGCTCGGTTCACAGCTTATCCGAGTTTCTGAAATCTCCCGGATTGATGGGCGAAATGGGGGCGCAAAAACCTTCACCACTACCTTCTTCACGGGTGAGCACTGGTTCCGAGCATGGCAGGTGACCGCTGCTACTTAGCGACGAGAGCAAAGCCATGGTAAGTCTCCAAGATTGTATGAAAATGCCAGCATCCTCACCTTCGGTGAATCCCGACGCACCCACAGGTCGCGTGGCACCATGTAAAACTGCCCACCTCTCTCGAGTCACTCTGCCACGAGTCTTCCCTGTTACCATCCTTTGTAAAAGCGTCTCTCGCTTTCTTCCTTGCCTGCCACATCCCCTTCTCTTCGGTCCGAGTTGTCACAACTGCTCGCTTTGACACTCCCACTATAACTGGGACCTTGCCCCCGCTTCGATTCAATCATCGAATGTTTCACAGACAATCTCTTCTCGAATCCTGTCGTGTTGATAACTCTTGTGAATTCCATCTCTCCTCACAGCGATTGCGTGAGTGGCATTTCCGCACGGATTGTTCAGCTACAAAGACAACCATGGCCGCCACGATGATGTCCCATATCGCATGTGCGAAGCTCGGAGGATTGCAAGCTCTGCCAACCCTTAACAAGTTGGCTGGTGGTCGGATTGCAGGAACTCCGAGGTTGATGACCTCCCTTGCCGGGCGTGTGCGTTGCGGCGTGGACAACGGTCAGGGTCAGGGTCCATTGGCGGACGCCAAGGCTGTGGTGGACCAGCAGACGAAGAAGACCATCACCAAGGACGACATCATGCGGAACCAGGAGAGCAACGAGTCGGAGAAGAAATCGGTGTTCGGCACGGAGCCGACGTCGGGGTCCTTCTACCCACATCCCGAGGTCGAGAGAAGGCCGGAGACGGGCGACAAGTCCTTCTTCAGCGTGTTTGCATTTGACGGAGCCGCACCCGAGGTCATCAACTGCCGTCTGGCAATGCTGGGGTTCGTGTGGGCAGCGGTCGCGGAGAGGCTGACAGGGCAGACGGTGTTTCAGCAAGTGACGAATGCCGGCCAGCCTGGTCTCTTCTACTTCCTGGCTGTGGTCCAGTTGTTCACGTACGCCTCCATGGTGCCCATCATGAGCGGCGAGTCGACGGACGCGCGCAGCTTCGGCCCTTTCACGGCGAAGGCGGAGCGATGGAACGGGCGCATCGCCATGCTGGGATTCTTGGGCCTCGTCGTGACGGAGGCGTTCACCCACTCTGCCGTCTTCGGCATGTAAATTCGCCATCCTGCGGGCGCGATTCAAGATCCTTCGTGGATCCGGAAAGTTGTACATATGTGCGCGCGCACATGTGAGTTAGCTGGTCGACGATCATTCACTTTCTCACTCATCGACATAGCGATAGAATGAGTTTGCCAGATTGAAGTACCTAGAACAGCGTGGAATCACGGCTGCTGCTGCTGCTGCCGCCCGTGGAGAGAACTTGTACATTACTCCTTGAGTGTAAAGCGTGACCAACAGTTTGTATAATCTCCAGCTAGAAAGTTGTCGGTTTCAAGTGCTGCATTTAGTTGTGGAATGTTTTGGCAAACTGTGACATGGAGCTTTTGTTATGCGTGAGCCGCTTGTCGAATGTCACTGTTGCTGCAGAGTCATGGAAAGACGTCGGCTGTGCAAAACATTTTGGAGTTGTCCGGCAGTGCGAGTAACTGTTTACCACCATGTGCAGCCGTCCGCTTCGATCTATTCGCGAACAAATGTGCACGCATCTGTGCTGGTGTTCTTGTTTGCTCCACAGCGAACAGACAGAGTGGTTCATCTATGATGGACGCGGTGGATGGAATCTTCGCCCGTCAAGTGAAAGACGACATAAGACTACAAACTTCACAGACCTGGGATGGAGCTGAATAACCGAAGCCAAACATGCGCTCGTGGGGAAATTTTAAGCGCGTTCAGTGTATTTACCAACCACGCAGCCAGTGGTTCCAATCTCAGCAATTCTGTCGCATTAGCGGTCGATTTCGAACATGGACGAGTTCCCTGTCAAGGCGTTGTCGCAGTGGCCAGCGCGTCATCGGCGACACACCAGCAGCTCGACAAACGACGAAAATCAGGCCGGTACACAAACCATCGAATGTGCCCAACAGCGGCGGCAGGACAAGATCGGCGATCGCCAGGTTGTGGCCATGGAGCCCAAGCGGTCGGTGCCGGATCGCCAACGAAAGCCGTACCCGAAAGGCGATTTTATCCTGGAGCACAACCGCCGTCGATGAGCTTCGGCAGTGGGCTTTCACCGCCTGGCAACGGAGTCGCAGGCATCGTGGATGAGGATGCAGGGCGAGATGCTGGCGGCGGAGGAGCGAGACTCCAAGTTGGGGACACTTTGATCCGCTGTTGGCTGCCACATGCCGCCCTCTTTTTCTGATTTGGCCGCAGGTCTCCCCGCCACATCCTGGCTTCACCATTGGACATGGCTCGCATCCGGCCATGTACTCGACATGTGCATCGACGGCGCTGGCAACGAACGGGCCTGGCAGGGATTCTGGTCCAACTGGTCGACCGGGAGTGCAGCGCCATTCAAGCGGATCGCAGGAAGAGTTCACAGCGCTCGTTGGAACTCAAGCAACGGGATCACAAACTTCGGTTTCCAACTCGTGACGCTGACCTGCTGCTTTCGCCGGTCTGTCGGTTAGCCGTGATGTGCTCTACAGAGAAATTGATTGTGTGGTATTCGTGGTGATTCAGGCAATTGTTGTGGGCAGCAGCAATAGTTGCAAGGATTAAAAAAATATATAAAAGAAAAGAAAGAAAAAAAGAGAAAAAAAAGGTACAGTCATCTAATACTCCTAAATTACAGGATAAAATACCCAAAAGCCAAAAAAGATGTAAATATTTCATGTGGTCATAAATTGATTAAAAAATAAAAAACAAAAAAACAAAAAAAACTAAGAAAAAAATAAACAAACAAATACTTCATATCAAAATTAATAAAAAAAACTTAATCATGTAAGATATTAGATCAAAATTAAGAGTCTAAGTAATATTAAATAAGGACCACTAGTGAAAGAAAAACCTAAAACATAGCATAAAGATTAAAGATTCTAATTAAGTTACTTCTAATAATAAATTTAATTTTTTAATATTTAGATTAAAAATATTTTTAGCTCATAAAAGTATATAATTTCTTGATTATTATTTCTTAAATTAAATAAAATTTATTAAAATATTGAAAAATTATTAAAATATATGATATCTATAATGTAAGTAGATGACCAATTAATTAACAAGTAGAATAGGCCTCCATAGAAGAAGAAAATATATTAAGATAATATATTTTTACACATAGTTTTAATATGAAAAATTAGTTATGTGAACAAAGTATATATATATATATATATATATATATATCTATATATATATATAATTAAAGTAAAAATTTATTTAAGAATTTCAATTTATATTTATAAGGGATTCAATTTAGATTAAAAATTGTAGTAGAGTTATAGAGTCTAAATTTCTAGAATAAATGAAGATAGAAGAAATGAGGTAATAGTACAATCTTTTTAGTTAACATCATTGTATCTTAAATAAAATTGATTTAAACTTACTCTTAAGTGACATAAGTAAATCCTAAGAGAAGCATAATTTATTTCATTAAGAGCAATTTGATAATCTTTTATAAAAGAAGTCAAATAAATATACAACCTAGTTTATTTTCTACTTCTTTTGATTTTATAAAAGACATATAAATTTTTACAACATAATTTTTATATCTAAAAATATTTCTAGTTGTCCTTCTTAAAACATAATTTTATTGATAATAAAGTTCCATATATTATAAATACTTTATCTAACTACATACCTCACACTTATATCTACTAATATTTACATATTTTTTTCTTGTTTTCTTTTGTGTTGATTTTATTACATTTATTTCAAAAAAAAAAAAAAAAAAAAATTCATAGAATGAGATCATTTAAACTGGGTTTTATTTTAAGATTTTTTAAAATTAAATAAATAAATAAATAAATAATATATATATATATAAATAAAAATAAAAAAAATCAAATACAAATGTGTATATTTATTATAATTATATTATATAATATGTTCTAAAAAATATTTGATTATGATTTATAAATATTTGGTCTTTTTTTAAAAAATTATAAAAATTATAAATTAATCTATTTATAGAAAATTTAAGGTGGGTTTAAAATAAAAATTCAATTTGAAATCAAAGATTTACAAGGCTGAATTAAAGAATAAAAATCCTTGAAAAAACAACTTAATTATTAAATACATACTTTAACAATATTGTTTTGGTGCATAGTAATACCTTTATTTTGAAAGTCATAACACAATATTGCCATAGCTGTTTTTAGATGCCACCCTTAGTTGTTACAAATATATATATATATATATATATATATCTTTTTGTTTGCTGCTATTGTTAAAAAAAATGAAAATATAAAATTTCATACAAATAGAAAATAATATTGTCAATTATATAAAAATAAGACAAAAATAGTATTCAAAATGTAAAATATAAATTACACTCCTAAATACCTTACTATGTCTTCAACAAATTGTGTATCAACATCTATTACAGATTCAATTAAATCTCAACCTAACCAAATGATGCATGTAGCAAATAACATCATTACTTCCATTTAAAATAACATACAACAAGTTTAATATTTTGTCATCCTATTGCCATTTGAAACTAACTAAAATCACTACATGTAATAAAATATTAATCCAGACACTCTTTGATCCTAAATTTTTTTAGCTCAGCCTTTGTTTTGTCTTTCCTACCAAAAAAGATACAATTGTGTTTATCATGAAATGATATTCTATGCTGTAAATCACGGACGTGAAAAAATGTTCACAACCAGGAATTTCGACAGATACTGTGTGTATTTACAAGCATTAAAATGTGTAATAAACTCTCCTCCTTGGGACAATTCCCCACATATCACAAGTGCTACGCATGTGCAATAGATGAGTGAGTGATGTGCCGTCTCAATGATACCTTGGATCTGTCTAGCCGAAGAATTCCTCAAGGAATCAAGCACAGTGTGCCACTCACTCTTGCATTCGAGGATCATCGACACGGTTACAGTCGCCGTCACTGGCCGTAATGGCTTGTTCTGATCCATACCAGTGCTTGGCATAGTAATGTTGTTGTTTTACAACACGTTCGAACCATGACTTGTCGCGAAGAATGTCTCGTCAATGCGATAGGTAGCTACTTTTCACTGGGATCGGTTCTATTGACGCCAAAGTTTCAGGGTAGTGTAACAAGTACTACTTCGGAGCGCCGGTCGGCACTTGGCCAAAATTTGTGAACAGCATATGCCAGTTTAGAGAAGATTAACCTCGCCTCATCGTAGAAAGGGTTTCCGAAGCCTTTCCCTTGATTAGTTTTCTGTTCCTAATTTCTCTAGTTTGTACACGCATCGACTGTTGCAGACAAAAATAGTATTCAATTTCCAGGTTGGGTTGGGCCCCTGACGCAACAGTGTAGAGGAAGATCTTCACAATGGTTGTGAGCAGCACAAGTTGCGTAAGAGTGGAGAAGATTGTCCCACTTGCAATAATCCTAGATAAGTACAGGTTCTGGGGTGTAGCATGGTTCCCAGAAGGGTGTCCTTGTTTTGATCCAAGTGACCCGCCAACCGCCGGATTATCACACCAGTGTATGGTTTTGAATTCTGGCAATACTGAATTCGTCTCACTCTCGTTTCTTTGGAACAGGTGGCCATCTGAACCTTTCTGAGCAATTATCCGCGTGTTGATTGACGGCTAGAAAACGGTTCTGATGTGACTGCTAGAGCATTAATGAATACATCTCTATATATATACATATACATAAGTACATCCTTAACCCCTTTCCAGTTAGGGCTTTGGCTTTGCAACAATCTGTTGTATTGATCCAAAATAAAAAAAGAGCTGAGCAACGACATCAGGCTTAACATCAAAATCCTGTGCAGAAATGGATCCGAATAGTACTAGGGTAGGAACAAAAATACCGGAAGCGTGTCAACGTCGTCGCACATGAAACAGCTGGTATTGAATATTTCAAATCTGCTTGTTTCCTACAGGCATCGCAACAGGTCAACAACTCTTAGAAAAAACCCTAGTTTGGAGTGGAATAATCATGTCGGAATAGTTAAAAATTTCAGGCTTGGAGGCGCACCACTAGGAAACACTCAAGGGAATCAAGAATCAAGATGGACTTCAACTTCAAAACGGCATTAGGATGGCCAAATATCTAACACTTATCCATGAATGCAATTTGAAATGAAATTGTCCATTAACGAAATTCTTCGAAAACAAGCAATCGATGATATTACCGGGTGTATAAAAGAATGTGGCTTTTCGGCCATGTGTCTAGTAACGACAATGCCAGGTGTGCTGCGACACCTGCCTGGTCTTCACACTTTGAAACATTCGGGAGTGAATCATTCTTTCTTCCCCCGCTGTGCATTATCATTCCTCCCCTGGGTGAATGTTCTGTAAGAATCTTGTTGCAGAAACCCACGAGTTGCTTTCATTTTCACCCACAAATATCAACAATTATCCTAGTTTCGGGATCCCACCCCAAGCTGTTATCAATCCCAAGGTGACCCCCATTCCTTCAACCAACCTGTAGCACCCAACTGTGGTAATCTACACATTGCTGGCTGAGCACTGATTCCAGTTGCAGCTCGCTCGTCTGTCAAATTCTGGAGGCGGCGAACTCTTCTGTTCATTCTACCATATATCTAGCTTATCTAGTGCTGTTACCCACGTTGCGAATGAAGCTACATTCGCTGCTTCGCTGCTTCGCTGTGGATTCATTGTCTGTAAATGACTTGTGACAGTAGGTCAGGTTGCTCTTACCAAATCATTGCCAATTGGCATCGGGGTTTGTGGTTGAACGCTCCCGCTAGGACTCGCCTCCACGTTGCTAGATTGGTCCCGAGGTTTATTCAAGCTATTTTAATACATCCGAGGCGGATTCTGAAGTTGATAAAGTCAGGAAACTCAAGAAGGAGCAGCCCTCCTGGGTTCGGAACTACTGCATTCTTAAATGCTGTTGTTGGGCGGTGGAGTTTTGCATCTGATCAGTGAGGGAACCGCTCAATACTCGTTCAGGAATCAGATCTAGCTTTGGAGGCCCTTACGGCGGAATAGTTTAATCGTGCCTGGTTTCCGTCGCTCTCACTGAAGCCGAGTCTGCATGAATTGCTTGATAATGAAGTTTAGGTAGGCTATTGAACTGGATGCGCTGGTCTTCCATTTCTTGAAAAGTTAGCTATCCTCCTCAGCTGGCCAATTTGTGCACTTTGTGCCAACTCAACTTGTGGCTTAGCTACTCATGTAAGTTACGTAGTGAAACACGTTTATAAGCATTGATATTACATGCATATCATTGCACGCACTTCCTGCAAAACTACGTAGTCGTGAATTTATTTTCGTCCATAGGACATGGATCTACGCACAGCTTGCACGATCATGTTCTTTATTATACAGATTGATAAGGCAAGCCGACATACAGACAGATCATTTGCTTACTCCGTTGCCGTTTTTGGGAGTTCCTTGCAATTGAAATTTCGAACCCATTAGCTCCCTCTTCGTCGCTAAAAATTTGCGTAGCTCGTGGCTTGGTCAATGCCACTCATTACCACTTCCTGAGCTCTTCGCCAACAGGAATTCCTCTGTAAGGTGGTTTAATATGCGTACAGTAAGATGTACCTCTAGTGGGTTTCATCAGGATTTCAGAGATGATGTTCACATACAGAAGCAGTCACGTACAAGCCAAAGTTGATGTAACAATGGTGACTGATAAGTTGTAAGATCTATTGTTGTGTTTCTAGTGGGTAAACCCTAGGAGGATAATTGCTACTGGGGATACGAGTAAACGGAGAAGCAGGAGCAATAGTTCACTTGAAACCCAGTCTCCTCCCTCTTGATAGACCACAGCAGGTTCTCGAAGTAGGGTACGTCGCAAGCTAAAGGCAACCCTCCTTTGTGCTGAAACCCATATTCCTCAGCCGATTTCTCTAGCAACGCCTTGAACATTTGATGCTTGAGGCAGGCAGCACTGATGACAAATCTCTGCCTCTCGCTCCCAACATAGACGGCCAAAAAGCCCTCCGGTACGTCCGAAGGGGGGGAAGCTGGATTCTCTTCGTCCGACTCTGTGTCGAAGAGCCTTGACCGAGATAAGGAAGTTGGTTTGATCAAACTGGTCCCACTCCTAGGAAAAACAGATTCGTTGGAGCTTAAACTTTGATACGGTAGGTTCTTGTTACCGATGCGGCTTTGAAGCATACGAACTGCGCGTTGCATCTTCTTTGATGCTGCTTTGCCCTTTGACATTGTCAGACAGGAGTGAACCAGTCACTCAGTGATTAGAACCAACAATATTTACAACACTGAGTGAGACTTACAACTTTGTGGATCCAAGTAACGAACGCTAACATAAAAGACGGACATTCGTTGTTACGACCGGAGACCTGCATTAGTTGCAGTAATTGCAGGCGATTCTGTCTCGGTATTGATCCTGCTCCTCTCGCAGGTCAAATATACGAACCAACATTTGTACACAAGTCACGAGTTACACGAGGTTAAAAAACGAGGGCATGCAGGAAAATCTCTGCAATGAGAGTATATGAACTATGTCATTTTGGAAAAATTGGGATATACAAAGGAACTTTGTGAAGATCCCAGATTGCTAAGCCAGGTTGTATGAACTTTCAGACGTTCATTAGTTACAACGTTGACATTATCATGAAAGATTTGTGCTCATAAGAACAGCACAGAACGTAGAGACGACACGAAAGCTTCAGGCTGAATACAGAACTAAACTTTCCGGGAAAAAGAATTAAACAATAAATAATAACAGAAGAACGTTGAAGCAACATAACACCATGCACTGAGGAATCTAAACTGCCAAATGAATATTACCAGACTCTCGGTGACACGCGCTCCAGAATGAACTCCAAAAATCATCACACTCCTTAAACTTGATTCATCAAGAACTCAGTCAGAGGAGTGGGAATAAGATGGGAAAAAAGAGACTAGTGGAATAAGATGACAAGGACGGTACTTCAGAAGGAGCTCGACGCTCGCAATTGTTGGACATAGGAGCGCAAGAGGACAATGCGGGGATGGTTTCTCGCTAATGAGGCCAAGAAAACAGCAGACTCAGAAGCGTAAATCAAACCCCTTCGATCTACTAACTCTCCACGCCACACATGTCAAACGAGAAGCGAGATTTATACCCAACCCCTCGGTACGCTCCCGAAACATTCCGACCCTCGAAATCTCATCATCTCAGCGTCCAACCCCGCCTCAATCGCTGCAAATTCCACCCCAAGTCCACTCCCCCTGTAACAAATGCCCAAACTTCGCATCAGTTCCGCTAAATCACACTAGACTTGCAAACCGCCGTCTCGGTACCAAAACCCGATACCACACTCAACCCTTTAGGCGAAAAGATCTCAACTACCCCACTGGATAATACGTCCAAGGTAGCGCTTGCTACAATGGTGACAGCATCGCGCTGGGATTGGGTTGGGACGGGGCGGGAGGGGGGCTGCTGCAGGCACTTCCAGAGAGGGTTTTGGTACCGAGACGGCGGTTTGCAAGAGTGAGTCTCACTTCCAGAGAGGTTTTTTATTAAAATATGAGGGCATTGTTTAAGCACTCTTGCATCTTTGAAATTTTGTTTGAAATCTTGCATATTGATAATGTGATGTGAACATGGTTTTTGTTGAAATATGAGGGCATTATTCAAACAATCCTACATCTTTAAGCTAGTACTTGGGATCTTCCGTATTGATGATGTGAAATAACCATGGTTTCTATTGAGATACTTAAGGTCATCGTTTAAGTATTCATGCATTTTTTTAAACTTATGATTGAAATCTTACATATTTATAATGTAATATAAATGTGGTTTATGTTAAAAGAATTAGAAATACTCTTGTTGAGAGTTGTAAAATTATTCAAGAGTTCGAAGAACTTTGCTAATTAATATGATTTTTGTTCAGTAATGTGTGATTTTGCTTTCTATCTATTTAATTTTAGATAATATTTTTAACTTTTGAAAAAAATTTGCATTAAATAATTAAAATGCTTAATCATTTAAATTAATCTACTTTATTAAATCCTTACCTTACAAGTTTATTATAACAAATATGAATATTTTAATACAAACATATCAATGGATTGATAGATCTGTAAGGTTTTGAGTTAATTATTAATAAATATAATATTAACACAAAAATTGATTTAAGACTTATCTTTAATGGTTAGTATTTTTTTTACATTCTTATTTATGTCTATGTATATATATATATATATATATATATATATATATATAGTATTTTTCTAGATTTTATTAGAATATTTTAAAACTTTCTACAAGCTTAGTTAAGGAAAAACTTTAATATATTATCACAAAAATAAATTTTGATTGATTTTAAATTAAATTTTTTAGCTTAATCTTCTTTCTAAGTAATTATTGAATAATATATATATATATATATATATATATATATATATATATTTAGCTTCAAGAATTAATAAATATAACTTATAATTTCTTTCTTTATTAACTACAATGAACAAGTCATTAATTTCTTTGTAATGCAACCTATTCTCTTGAATATGTAATTAAAATGTTATGTGATTAAATTTGTGATTACATACCTTTTATCAAAATTAAATTATTGAATAAAATGTTAAATTTTTGTTCATTATTTTTATCCAAAAATGCCAAAATAATATCATACCTTAATATATTTTTAACATTCAGCATAGTAATTTAATTTCTGTAACTGCAATAAAAAAATAATGTTTAAACTGATTGAAACTATAATTTTGAAATTAGAAAGTAACATATTTTCCACAAAAAAGAATAAAAAAACATTTTAAAAATTTACTGATATTCAAGTCTAAAAACACAACAGAAATTCGGAAATTTTAAATAAAAAATTAAAATCTACAGATAAGTCAATAGAGAATAAATATCATTTTAAAAGCTAATTTAAATACACCAAAAATTACTTTAACAACCATATTAAATTATGCTATATATATGCTAATATACATATTAATAATATATTTGAACTTATATATATATATATATATATATTTATGTATATACACACTATAAAAGTATAAGAGATGACTAAAATTTCTATAAAAAAATTAAATTAAAAAATAAAATAGAATTGAATTATTTTAAAAGTATAAAATTAAAATATATATTAATAAGTAAAAAATCTATGTGCTTTGATTGTTTTTTAATATTTAATATTTTTCTTTTGGTAATATAGATATATGTAGAGTAAAGAATAACTATTTAAATTGATATTATATTAAATCATTCTAAATTATTTTTAAATACCTAATTTTAGATTTTATAATATATAATTAATATCTTTATAGCATTTAAATGTATATAAAAAAATATTCTAATTTTTTTTTATAATAATAATATTTTTATCTTATTTTGATCAAAATAATATTTTATAATTTAATAAATTCTATAACATATGCCAATTTTCTTAAATTTTTGTTAATAAAATTATATTATAAATGATCAGTCTTAAAAAATTAATTATATTTTTAACCTATTGTAATCAAAATTCAATAGAATTAGTATATATATATATATATATATATATATATATAAGATAAATTGAAGTGATTTTAATTAAATATTTTAGAAGAAAATCTATTAAAAAAATTAATATTTACTAATATATCATAATATTCTAAATTTATTATTTTTACTACAATAAAACTTTATAAAACTAAAAAATCATATAAAAACTTTAAAACTTAATTTTTTGATGTAAAATATAATTTCATAGAATACAATCTAAATAATTTTATATTTTAATAAGATAAAAAAAAATAATATATGTTATAAATTATTGAAGAACAAGCACTTTGAAGTCACAACACTTAGCATTAATAAAATTGTACACAAAAGGGAGTATGGAATAAGATAACTCTTACTTCATACACTTGTTACTTATAGGTGGTGGTTGCCAATGAGCAAGGCAACTTCCATCAACGTTACATCCATTTCTACTTTATTCAACTAAATCCTAGGTTCTTTCTTAATCTAGCTGCCACCTACAAATCCTAAAAGCCACTATAGTAACTTCCTTATACTCTTTGCTGCCTTTTGACCACTAGCAACTTACCTAAGGTAATACCTTTTACTAAGTGACTAACTTCAATACTTCCACTTTGTTATTGGTTAAAGGGTTTTCAATCCTAATACCTTTGTCAACATGTCGTGTCTATCCTTTACTAATGCCTTTGTCAACAAATCAGCAAGCATGTCTTCCGTTATACAATACTTTATATCAATCACTTCCATTTCAATCTTCTCTCTTATGAAGTGATGTTCAAATGTCAATATGTTTTATCCTTGAATGATGCTTGGAATTCTTTGCAAATGCAAGACATCCTTGATTATCACACTCCATTAGAGTTCCTTCCATTTACACATCTCCAATGTCCTCCAAAAGTTGTTTTAGCCATATTACCTCCATTATACTATGGCTTGCTCCCATGTACTCCACCTCCATTGTTGACCTTGCAATTATTGATTGTCTCTTACAATTCCATGATATAACTCCCACTTCAACAAAGAACACATACCCTATTGTTGATCTTCTATTATTTGTATCTCTAGCCCAATCTGCATCACAATAACCATGCAAATTAATGTTATCACTTCTAAAGTACAATTTGAAGTTTATAGTGCCTTTTAAATATGTCATAATCCTTTTGATAGTTGTCCAATGGATTGGTCCAGCCTTAGACATGTGTTGGCTCACAACACTCACCACATATGTAAGATCCACCATTGTGCCAACCATTGCATACATTAGTGAACCCACTGCTGCCTTGTTTGAAATTCCTTGCATTTGACCTTCAACTTCAGCAAATTCTTCATCCGTGAGCTTCATCAACTTCAAATTGGTCTCCAAAGGTGTTCCAATAGGCTTATACTCCTCCATCTTGAATCGTTTAAATACCTCTTCAATGTACTTGCTTTGGCTCATTATAATGGTCTTCTTAGTACTATCTCTTACAAACTCCACTCCTAAGTAATAGTAAAGCTCTCCCAAATCACTCATCTCATACTCTCTTTCTAACTTTGCCTTCAACCAATCCATCATCTTTATAGTATTAGTTAAGATAATTAGATCATCAACATATAAGATGACAATCAATATGAACTCATTTGATTGCATCACATACAAGGAATGATCAGCTTCACTTCTTACAAATCCTTTAGTTACAAAGAATGTATCAATGCATTGGTATCATGGACATATACATGTAAGCCAATAATTACATGTATAAATAGGTAGAAATAAGTAAAAGTAGATAAAAGTAAATTAATTCTATAGTATTTGGTATGAAAGCTTTCTAGAAGCTTCATAGACGCTGCTTTGACTTCATAGGTGTCTTTAATTGCCTTTTTGGATTAGAAACGTGGTCAATAAGTTGGCCATGTGCCACACATGTTGTTAGCTTGAAGATCAAGCTAACTATGTAGCCCACACATAGAAAAACTTGCCTTGTAAGTCAAAGCATGTGTCCTACAAAGTCAAGACATATTGGAGGTCCTATAGAACATCGCCACGTAGCCTCTAGTTAGATAGTATATATAGAGATAAGAGTGAAGCCTTCTTCACTCTTGTCAACTCTTTTCTTGTTTTCAGTCTAGTTTCAAGGGTCTCTAGTTTTCTTATCTTTTGGCAATAGCTATTCTAGTTTCTTTTTTAATATACATATCAAGTTATTTCTATTTTGTTAAATTTCTTTGAAAGAAGTCTCACTTGTTTATATGTCTTTATTATGTTCTTGTCCTTGACAGATTGATAAGAGTATACTTACAATATCAGAGCTTTGTCTAATCTTGATTAAGAGTGGATTACCCCTTTTTTTTTATAAGACATAAGCATATTAGAAGTTGCGGATTATCCTTTTCTAAACTGATATTGTCCTTAGTATTTTTTTTGTTCTCAAGTCCTCTCTTCTATTTGTCTTGAGCGATATTAGACATCTTCTCTTTTCTAAGTGTTATCATGGCAGAACTTGCTGAAATGAAGAGTGCAATGGTATAAATGTAAGAGCAATTGAAGGATTTAATGCTTGCGATGCATCAACTCAATTTACTATAATAAGGAGCAATAAGATTAGCAAGAAGTGAAGATATAGAAATGATTGGAGCAACTTCAACATCTGTACCAAATCATGTCCTTTCTCCTATGGTGGAACGCCCTTCTAGTGTTAGAGAACCAAGAATTATCCTACCAGAGAAGTTTGATGGCACCAGATCAAAGTTTAGAGGATTTATCATTCAAGTAAAACTTGTGATTGAACTTCAACCCCAAAGCTATCCAACTCCAAGATCGTAAGTTAGATTCATTAGTACGCTTCTTTCAAGTTCAATATTATTATAGTTTTCATCTTTTCTTGAACGATGAGATCTAATATTGGATAATCTAGAGGCTTTTTTGGCAGAGTTTCA